GTGTCGTTCGGTGTGCTTAACACTGGCTGACAGCGCTATGTCAAGAATTTCATTGAATTTTTAATATATACTCATGTCAAAAAGTGTGGTTTATAGCATGTTTGTGCGCTTTGTTGTTGGCACTATTGGCAACTGGTATGGCATGTGTGCTTTGTAGATCATAGATAAATCAAACTTCCGCTTCTAGTGCCTGGGCTTGTGTGGCCTTGTGCAGGGTGTTCCGCTTAAATTCTTATTACTGTTGTTTTTTTGGGTATTCTCTTAGGACATTTAAAGCTTTTTTTGAAAGGTCTTCAATATTCGTTCAAATGTTGTGTCATGACTTTACCCTCAGTTTTTGAGATATCGATCTGAAATTTTGCACATGTAGTTTTCTTCCCTAGAGGCTGCTCATTTATCCGAAACGCCGATATCGGACCACTATAGCATATAGCTGCCATATAAACTGATCGTTCAAAATCAAGTTCTTGTTTGGAAAACTTTTTAATTTGACAAGATATCTTAACGAAATTCTGCATGTATAATTGTACAAGGCAACGCTACAAACTCTGTACAAATGGTACAGATCGGAGCACTATAGCATAAAGCTGACAAACAAGGTTTTATTGCTTCGGTGCCACAGAAGTCAACGTTTTTTCTGTTGTTTTTAATATTTTTTTTTCAAATAATTTCAAGTTTTGCTAACTTCCCCAACTGTGTCTGTTCCAACTCTCTTTTTTAGGACTTCAAAATTTTCCAGTAACAGACATCGGAAGCTGCAACCTTTTAGAGAAACGTGAGCCAATCGCACATCATTAGGCACCACGTTTTCCAATTTTTCCAAATATTTATAAAACATAATTGTAATCCAGATATCTAGCAGCAGCAAACATATAGCACTAAAACTGATAAATGTAAAAAAAATAAAAAGAAAAATATCTTTCATAAGATACAAAAAAATCTACAAATATATTTAGCAAAAAAGCCCAAAAATTCACTTCCAACCTCAAAGTGGGGTGAAAATTGCATAAAAGTTTCAAAAAACTGGAGATTTGTAAAGCAGAACACATAACTAAAACAATATAAACAACCAAGTACTGTATAACAGCCGAGCGTTTTGTTTCAAAATCGAAGTGAAGCCCAAAAACTAACAACAACAAACAACATACAGCCGTCAAATAGCAGCAAATTACAAAAAAACAAGAAAAAAATTAAGAAATAGTGGAAGCAAAAGCAATCGCAGCGGATATTAACAAGAAAATCTGCATAGCAACAGCAATAGCACCGGAAACCAACACCACTGTCATAATTAGGAATCAATCCAAAGCGCCAATTGAAGTGAAAGGAAAAGCGAACTTCATGAATTTATCAATAAAGAAATACAATAAATCAAAAAATAAAAATTTAAGTACCATAACGTCTTCGGCATCGTCTTGGAGGGCGTTTCGGTGCTACAACGTCGCAACGACTGCATACAACGTAGAGCAAACGTACGCCGCTAACGGAGCAGCAGCTGCCGCAGGAGCAACAACTAACTTACTGATGTGCAGTGCCATCAATTGGTCACCTTGTTGAGGTTGAAAGCTGAATGCGAACGTAAGCCATATATTATCTACATATATATATACATATATATAACGGCTACAAAGCGCGTAGCGAAGCAGCAGAACGTAGCGCGTGCCACCGAAGAAACTCGTACGCAACGCACGAGAGTTGTCGGAAATCGCTAAAGCAGAAATCAAAAGCAAAATCTTAATTTTCAGCTAAATCTGTAGCGTTTATTCACACCCATTCTCAGTTTTTTTATGAAAACCAGAACAACAAAAACAACAGCAGCGAGTAGTAGCAGCAGCAATAAAATCTAAAGCCAACACAGCGCGAGACCGCAAAGTGTGCGCCACAAACTAAAATAAAATAATCATTAATCTTAAAAAAATATATATAAAATATAATAACACCGAGCCGCAAGCGCAAGCGCAAGCTCAGCACTTTCGTCGACGTTACAGTTAGAGCGAATATTGCCAAAATTACGCACAACAAGCAGCGCGATTTATTATATACTGTATACATTTACAATAACAATTCTTCTATACGCAAAAAACGCAAAGCAAAACGCCAACAACAACAACAACCGTCAATCCACAATATCATACAAAAAAATAAAATAAACTTAATATAAAGAACATTTAAGGAAGCACAGTAACAGTAAAAAGGAAATAGCAAAAATGGGTTCCGTTAATGTGAATCGTAATGTCACCGACATTTTCTACCGTTATAAAATGCCACGCTTGCAAGCTAAGGTCGAGGGCAAAGGTAACGGCATCAAAACCGTTATTGTTAATATGGCCGAAGTGGCACGCGCCATCGGACGTCCGGCCACCTACCCGACCAAGTATTTTGGCTGCGAATTGGGCGCTCAAACACAATTTGACTACAAGGTAAGACATGCTGTGCGAAAGTTTTTAATGCAAAATTACTAAAAATGCCTTTTCGCTTTGCAGAATGAACGTTTCATCGTAAATGGCTCGCACGATGCCGGCAAATTGCAGGATCTGCTCGATGGTTTCATACGCAAATTCGTCTTATGCCCGGAATGCGACAATCCGGAGACCGATTTAACCGTCTCGGCTAAGAATCAAACCATTTCGCAAGCATGCAAAGCTTGCGGCTTTCATGGTCTCTTAAAAGTCAATCACAAGGTTAACACGTACATTTTGAAGAATCCACCAACCGTCAATCCGGCTGCACAAGGCTCCTCATTGACCGAGGGTAAACGTTCGAAACGCGGTAAGAAGAATGGTGAGAATGGCGTGGATGGTGATAAAGGTGCCAGCAATTCGGGTGGTGAATCGGATGGCGGTAGCGGCAATCAGGCCAGTCAAACGGAGGCGGAAATTAGCGCTGCCATACCGGAGAAGAATGGTGATGACGATGACGATGATGTCAACTGGAGTGTCGATGTGTCCAAGGTAAGTTGCAGACTCAGCTCAGATTAAACTACATAAAAACTAACATTTACTGCTTTTCGACACAACAGGAAGCCATACGCGCACGCTTGCAAGACTTGACCGATGGCGCCAAAGGCATGACAATCTCTGATGACTACGATAAGACCGAAAAGGAGCGCATTGACATCTTTTATGAGCTGGTCAAGAAGAAGCGCAATGCTGGTGAGCTCGACTCCGTTGCCGTACACAAGGAGCTGATGATCGAAGCTGAGCGTCTTGATATTGTGCACAAGGCAACGCTGGTCTTAGTCGAATTGCTCTTCTCCGATAACATCACACAGGAAGTGCGCAAAAATCGCATTCTGCTGCTGCGTTTCACACACAACAATCCGAAGGCGCAACGTTATCTCATCGGCGGCTTGGAGCAGATAATCGCTTTACACGCGGCCAAACTGATGCCCAAGGTGGCTGGCATTTTTAAACTCTTCTACGATTCGGATATACTCGAGGAGAAGGCCATATTAGAGTGGTCGCAGAAAGTGAGCAAGAAATACGTTTCAAAGGATGTGGCCACTGAGATACACGAGAAGGTCAAACCGTTCATACAATGGCTGAAGGAGGCCGAGGAGGAGGAATCTTCGGAGGAGGACGAAAACGATTCCGATGTAGAGATTGAGTATAATGATCGCGCACGTGTAGAGCCTTTGAAGGCTGCCGCTGTGGCCACTGCTGCCAAGAAGATTGTCGACGACGATGACGAGGGCGAAGAAATCGACATCGATGACATCTAAAGTGGTTGTGTAGTAAGAGCAGCAGCAAACATGTAGTGAAAATCACATGCGCAGCTCAAGGCAGCAGCGCAGCAATTGAAATGTCCAAAAAAAAAAGTAATCATCTGCGCATTTTTGCTAAAGAAAATGTAGTTATAAATATTCCATACTTTCTCTTTGCGTGTTTTGTGTTTGAGTGCGCACTTTATGCGCTCGCGCGCCAACTAGGCTTGAAAAACAAAAACCAATACATTGTCTTTCATACGTCACATGGCATTTTGACTGTCTCTGTCAACGCATATTCCAAATTTTTTCAAAATTTCTCAAATTTTGTGCAACATTGCTGCTTTTATGCGGCGCTTGTCTTACACTACCAAGAAAAAACATCTTAAGTGCTGCAAAAATTTTCGTTTGCTCTTTTTTCTATTTCATTGACATCTTTATTTTTTGATTTATGCCTTTATTAAATTTAAGCTTTTTTGTGTTATTGATATTTACACGTAATTTCAAACGGCAGCAACTAAAGACGCAGCTTCGATTTTGTTTCGACGCTACACAAACAAACACAGTAAAAACAATATTTACACTTACAAAACTAAATGTATAAATAGTATTTTTAACGGTACCTATATGCCAACTTCGTACACACATATACGCCATATTGTTCTGTCTCTACGCTTTCCACACGATAGAAACGCCGAGTGCTTACTTTTCCCGAAAATAAAACTTTTGCATTAACACTGAAGCCAAAAATATTGCAAAAAGCTCAATTATGAAATAACACATACATACACACACACTATTTCCCAATAATACCTATATTTGTCGCAAGAGTTGAACACACAATAAGGAAAAGAGCAGCGCAAAGCTTTCGCGTTTTTGAACTGTCGTAAATTTTGAAATTTATTATGCAAGTAAAAAATGTAAAAAAAAAATACAAAAAATAAAAATGTAAAAAAAAAACAAAGCAATGTTGTTATTTACTAAAAGGTGCAAAAACGTGTCGCCAAGCATGTTTGTAGCAGAGCTCTTGTTATTCGACTAACCGGATTACCGGGCATTCGAGCATTATTCGAATAATAATATGCGGCTTGCACTATCCGTATAGCCGTAAGTTGTCGGCTATTCAATTAACTGTTCGTTGCCGACTATTCGAATAGTAAGCGTTCGCAATTTTACGACTCTTCGAATAGTAATATTCGGTTAAGATTCATACAAACGGTTATAAACCGGATATTCGCATAATCGGTTTCCAAATTATTCGAATAATTTTCACAGTCCTAGTTTGAAGAATATCGAATAATAACAAAATTAAAAAAAAAAATTTTAAAAACAATTTAAAAAAAAAATTAAAAAAAAATTTTTTTTTTAAATTTTAAAAAATACTCCTCACAGCAATATGTCAGAAGTCAAGCAAGGATAATGAATATTATCAACAAATGTCAAATAGGCTTAAAGCGCGTTTTTCTTTTGAACCAGCTTTATTGGTGTTTTTAGGTATCACAATGGACCGTCATTCTAAGCTCTCCAAGTGAGATTCGTCTTATGAACGACCTACTAACCTAAACCTAAGCCCAGACTCACAGTTACGAAAAAGCTTTTTAAGCAGTTTAAGCATGTGAATTGAGCTCGTGGAGTCATCGTGTTGTAGAGTAATAACGCAATAAACACGATTCGGGCTGCTGTCACAAAGAAAGCCAACTAATTTTGTGTAAAAAATACGCCTTGAGCTCTAAAATTTCGCTGTAGAAAAATTGCAACGTGAAATTTGCAAAACTTTTCGTGCAATAGCCATTAAAGTGAAGTCAGCGCCTTGGGATAGGCAACAAATTTCAGCAATTCCACACAAGCTGCCTGCTAGGCACTCTATACAACGTCATTCGCCTTATTTCGCACGCTGCGTGAGAGAAAGCTTTTATTTGCGCACGAATACTGTGGCGCTAAGCACAGAACATGACGAGATGGAGCGCATGGAAAGGTGAGCGCAAAATTGTGCAGAGCGAGCATAGCTGCAAAGGTTGTTGTTGTTGTTAATGTTTTTAATTTTTGTTTTAATTACAAACGTCTAACCGTTTATATGAGCTGTTGCGAATTGGCGCTGCTCAGTTGGTGCGTGGCGTTGCGACGATTTGCTAGTGTCTCATTGCCTGCGCTGCTTTGCCGAAGACATGAATATTTAATTGCACGGAAATTGAAATGTATTCAACATACGAACACACATGCGGCAATAAATTGCGTGCTTCGTGAGTCGTGTCGTTGTGTGGGCATGAAAAAGAAAAGGAAAAAATTATTGGCATTAATGTTTAAACAAAGTGTTGAGCCAACAAAAAACTGTGAAAATTAAAAGTGAATAACAAATTTGTGTAAAAAAAAAGATACAAATTTCGCATTAAGCGCAGCAACATAACGTAGTCAGCGTGAGCATTAGCTGAGCAGCGAAAAACGTGTTCCGTGCACAAACGTAAGCGGGCTGGTGGCAGGCGGTGGCTGCGGCAGCATAAGATCAATAAAGTTCAGCAGCGGTGTAGGCAGCGCGTCACAAGCGCACGCAGAGCAGCTTGAAGTAGAACGCGAGCGACAAGCAATCGGAAGTTATTCAACGTAAGTGCATTTCCTATTAAGTATTGTATTTTATTAATTTTTTTATTTTTTCTGTATTTGTGTGTGCTCTTCGTGAAAAACTATCTTTTTTATTGGCTCACTTCGAATGCGCTTGAACGTAACAAGCTTTTGCAGTTCGAGGCGCTAGCGTTAATTTGTAAATATTTCCTTTCTAACTTCTAAAAAATAACATAAACTACTACAATATTTGTTGTTAAGGTGTTAGGGGTAGGCAGAGGCACGAAAAAATGAGAATTTTCAGTAATTTTGTTTTGCTATTAAATCATGTTATTTTACAAAAGTAGTAATATGGCATTATTATACAATGTTTCGACTTGAAGTCACGAGAATTTCAAAAAACAAAAATTTTTAATTTCCAAAGTTATAGCTGTCTGTGCTGACCCAGTTCCAAAAAAAGGTCCTTGCGTTGACAATCATAAATCCTTGGAGATTCATCTAAAATCAATCGGATAAAAAAAATTAGTTTTATAAATAGATAATCCTGGGTCTGATTTAAGCTTCAAAAATTAACAAAATTTTCAGGAAATTTTTTTCTAGATTTTTGAGAAAAAATCAACGGATAATTGATCTTAAAAAATCGAAAATTTTGAAAAAAAAACCTTCTATTAGGCCCGAGCTTATTACGTATTTCTAAAAGCTGTATAAATTTCTTTAAAATCTATTAAGCGGGTTTCGAGTTACAGTTGTCACCAGTTCAAAAAACATAGTTTTGAGAAAAACGCATTTAAAGTTTCACACAAGAGCTCCCGAGCGCTCTTTGTTAATTGTTGAATAACTCAAAAAGTAATTATCGGATCAACTTGAAATTTTCAGAGAATATTTTCAAGATATTACACTTAACAAATTGATTTTTTAAAAAATTCTGACTACCCCTAACGCCTTAATATTCGACGTTGTAGCAAGACCACGCATTTTTGTAAAATGTTAGGCATGATGATGAAATCAAAACCAAGCTTTTGTACGGCAACTTTTGATTTGTGTAGGGTATTATAGTTTCGGTGCAAACGAAGTTAACGTTTTTATTTGTTTTCCACTAAATCTACGATACGATACTGATTACTTGGAATTTATGAACACATCTTACTTATTCACTCTCCATTCCCCGCAATTGATTTATTTTCTTTGCCAGCAGGTGCAGCAGGCACATACGGGTTTTACGTGTTGTTTCTATTGTAAACAAACATCTACTCGTGAGTTTCCACACTAATGAAGCATTTCAATTGAATTTTTGTTGTTTCGATATTCTCCCTTTCGTTTTTGATCAACAATTTCATTACGGGTGGAAATTTATTGAGTGGTGATAAAAAAATTTTGCACGCGTTTCTAAGTTATAAACATAGATACATACAGACAGACAAACATACACATTTGTAATCAAATGTGTGAATGTTAGAAACCAGTTGAATGTTGAAATCTAAATTGCCATCTTCACATATACAAGTGTACATATGTATGTATGTGCATATATATTTGCATATAAATCGCATATTTTTCCATACATGCAAAGAAGCACCCAGTTCTGCTGTTCACACAGCGAGTGCTTGTTCTTTTTCGCATCATTATGCCATACGCAACTATTGTTATAACACGTTTTCGTTGTCTTTGGTTAAAAATAGCTTTGCTTGTGGTACCAATGGTCCAGTATCGAAATTCTCGCATACACATTTAATTTTAGGCAAACACAAACCAAACTCAAGAAGCTAACTAATGATGGCAGCAAATATTTTTATACTTCTGGCGGCTGCTTGCGTCCATGCATGTGGCTTAAATGCAGCAAGACAGCTTACAAGTACCATGCTTACGTATCCTTTGCTTGGTCAGCTTGCTTGTGTGCTTTTCATATCTGTTGGGCTTGTGGACATTATGTATTGCTAGGTTGAGTAAAATATTGCTGCAGATAAATGAGTCGCCATTGCATCTTTGTGGTAATTTGCTATTTATTTATCGCGTTGTTGAGAAATTTATTGCAGCGCATTTAAGTGATAAGTTAATTAGCCTTGTGGGAAAGTAGTGCTGCTAGTTAGCTGTTTTCGTTTTTTCTAAATAAAATATATTGTTTGAAGTGGTTAAAATTTGACTTCTATTGTATTTATAATAACAGTAATAGGGCGTTCACACTTTGGCAAATGTTCAACATTCGCAAAATTTTTTTTTTACTATAATAGTTATACATATTACAGCTGCACTGGTTTTTCAATGCTGTAGTTACGGTTTTTACAATTAAGCATCATTGCTTAAATTGCAAAGCCGATTAAATAAATTAAGCATGGTGATGTGTGCCTATGTCACAGGAAAAACATTTTCAACACTTGAGTATGCATAAATACATGATTGTATATATGTACATATGTATGTATACAATGCAATAATAATTAATTTTAATATGCATAAAGATATGAACACATTAGACACACATTTACTTATTTCAACAATTTGGTTAGTTAGGTACTTAACCTCAAAATATGACATTCAAGCAATTATTTTTTTAAGCAATTGTTAGTAGAGCAATAACTATGAGAATCAGATCTAATATAAACATAAGTATAAAAAAAAATTGTTAATAGAGCATTAAATATGAGAATTAGACCTAATATATTTAAATATAATTATATAAAAAAAAAATTAAAAAAAATAAAAATAAAAAGATTACAAAAGCTGCCCTAATAATATGTTTTTGCTTGACACTAATAAAGCTTACTTCTTATTTTTTTATATCATGAATGTCTCGTCTTTTATATTACTTGCCGTCAGTAGTTTACATGTATGCACATATATACTAATACATACGTACATATAGTAATATGTATGTAATCTTATAAATCAATAAATACTTTGCAAAAATCACATTTCTTCCAAAGCACTACAACTTCTTCGAAAAAGTACTTGTTTTTCTTGTTTTATTAGCTATATATTTATTATGTTTTAAATACAAATAAATTACTGTCAGGGCTTTTAAAAGGGAACAATTGACGATTTGAATAATTCTCTAACTACAAAAGTAGGAAATCACTTTGCAATTGCACAAAAATGTATAAAAAATATCGTTTTAATGCTGGAATTCAACGGCAACAAAGTAAACAAACAAAAATATTAACAGACACAGTATTTTAGGGTAGTTAATCTGCTGTTATTTCTACAGTACAAAATAAAGAATAATTGATAAGTTACTGGTTTTACGGCCGTTTCTATGTGTAAATATATTTAAATTATTCATGCATTATTCTTCGATTTCAAAATAGCAAAAATTTATTTATAACAGAAAAAAAACAGAATTTTATAAAACAGAAACAGAAAATGTATAGATTTCTGTTATTATTTCTGTTTCTGTTCTTGTTCTTATTTTTTTCATATTCATAAAAAAGCCATGAAAACATAAGAAAAACGCAGAACTAAACAAATCTAGCAGCAGCAGATACTGTATTCATTAATCGCGTAATTTTTATACAAAAAGTCACTAAGTTATCGAAGCTGCTACATATTTGTATGCTTATCTCCAATAATAAACACGTGCAAGTGCAAAAAGCGTCAATTGGCGCTAGTTGAAAACGAAAGCATTGCTTTCCGCCGCACATATTTGCGCTTATGCAGTGCAAGCGCACTTAAGAGTGGCCGCCATGTTTGTTTAGTCAGTAAACTGTTATCAGGCAAAACAAAGAGCGCTGTAAAATTCTGCTTGTAATTACAGTTTTTTGTTAATAGTATTTTTATTTAGCTAGTATCAAGTACGCAAGAACTGAGGCTACTAGAAATCATTTTCTGATATTGGATATCGATCATTTTTGCGCATATCAAACGCATGCTGATGCAAAAGCTTTGCTCAAAGTTTATCTGAAGAGTTTGAAGGATTGTTAGGCATTTATTGTATAAACCTAGATTTATGCAATGGTCGCTCGATCAAGCGAGAATTCAAAACTATGTTTTTTTGTATTATAAGAAAAAATATTTATTTAACTAGCGTAAGCATCACAGTCCCTTCGTAAAAAAGAAAAATGATGTCCGCAGAGCTCTCGAATTTCTAAAATATGACAGGAGGCTTGTAGAAACCCACACTGTCGCTGAGAGAGCGCAGTTTCTTTTCTGAAAAGACAATGAGAAGTGCTTATCAATTTTTACCCGGTTTTTATAAACGCACTAAATTGTTGTAAATAAATTATATTTGCGTATAATTTCCTATACAGTGCGGTGGGCCATAAAGATTAGCTGACTCGAATGTTGATATATGATAAATATTTAAATACATATTTATATAGGTCTACATTGATAAGAAATTTACAGCTTCATCAAGTCAAAACACTTGAAGTTATACTTGTCGTGTACGTCTGATTTAGATAGCGTTAGTCTTCTACAAGTTGGATGAGGTAGTCATACTTAGTGGAGTACATTCTGTAGTAGCATTTCGCACAATTGAACAGAAAACAGGAGTGTTTAATATTGAAAGGTTGTGCATTAACTGATCGGTTTAATTTCCTAAATTTATTCTATTTTTCACCTTTTCACTATTTCACTTCGCAGACTGAAACGGAACTTAAACGGTTACGTTGCATTGTCGCCACAGAATGACTGCCGTCACTATGGATGTGAACAAACTGCCACACTCGCAAGACGGTATTGAGGTGCAAATGGATAGCTTAGACTCGAGTCATGCGTTCACGAACTCGCTCGAGGAGCCCAATCCGCCCAAATCCAACGTGTTCAAGTCGAAAATTTTCATTGTTGCCGTTACCTTTTCGAGCGTACTTTTTACCATCATGTGCATCGGTTTTTTGGTACACTATGAAATGGCGAGTGAGGTCTGTGATGGCGAAGACATACCTTTTTGGAATGTGCAGTTGCCGCCGGAGCAACAGGTGTGGTATGAGAAGGGCATTGAGGAGTTAAAGAGTGCGCTGAGTCGTGAAATCAATCGCCGACGCGCGAAGAATGTTATACTCTTCGTGGGCGACGGCATGGGTCCGAATACAGTGACAGCGACACGTATTTATGGTTTCAAGGAGGAGGGTTTACTTAGTTGGGAGCGCTTTCCGCATATGGGTTTGCTAAAGGTAAGTGCGCCTTATTATCTGAAATGTATTTTTTAAAATTTATATTTTATGCGCTTTACAGACTTATTGCGCCGACAAGCAGGTGCCCGATTCGTTTTCTACCGCCACAGCGCTTTTTGGTGGTGTTAAGGTCAATTATGAAACGGGTGGTGTGGACTCGAGTGTTTTGCTTAAAAACTGCAGCGCTTCGCTGGATGCTACGCATCATGTGCAGACAATACTAAAGTGGGCTCAGCTGGATGGCATGAATACGGGCTTTGTGACGACAACGCGCGTAACGCACGCCACGCCGGCCGCTTTGTACGCGCATACACCCGATCGCCGTTGGGAATGTGAGGCTAAGATGTCAGCGGAGGCGCAACAAGAGGGTTGTAAGGACATAGCCAGGCAGTTGGTGGAGGATGAGACGGGTCGAAAAATAAACGTAATCATGGGTGGCGGACGTCAAATGTTAGTTTCCGGCGTGACGGACAATCCAGCGGATCCGATCGACACTTGGGGCTGCATATCAAAGGATGGTCGCGATTTAATAACCGACTGGAGGAACTACAAACAACAGGCTGGTGAACGCTACGCGGTTGTGCAAAACAATGGTGAACTTAATGCATTGCACGGTGAGTCTGTGGACTATGTTTTGGGCATTTTCGCCAATGGCCACTTGAAGTATGACCACGAGCGCGATCGCAGCGACGCGGGTATGCCATCGTTGCGCAATATGACTGTGAAAGCGCTGGAAGTGTTGAAGAGTAAAGACAAGGGATTTCTACTAGTAGTGGAGGGTGGCATGATTGATCAAGCGCATCACCGCGGTACAGCCAGACGTGCGCTTTCTGAGGCGTTGGCCTTGAATGAAGCCGTCGACGCAGCGGTGCAAGAGATGAGGTGAGTTGATGTTTGCGTAACTAACGTGACAGCATGAAAAATAAAAGATGGTCTAAATTTCATTAATTTCTAATTCTAATTGCAGTGATCAGCTGGACGAAACTTTGATTATCGTAACCGCTGATCATTCTCACAGCTTAACCATAAATGGGCATGCAGAAAGAGGAGCTGACATACTAGGCGTGGCCTCTACCTCCAAGACGGAAGGCACACCATATACAACACTCACCTATGGCACCAGCTATAAAGGTTTCCAAGTCGATGCTAATGGTAAACGCGTTGATCCTACCACGCAGGACACCACCGCTTGGGCATATACACAACAGGCGGCTATAAATACCGATGAAAATTTGCACGGAGGCTCCGACGTTACAATACATGCTAAAGGTGCGCCAATGCTGAGAAATTTTAATGGTGGCTTATATTTTAATCTCGTTTTTTTTTTCAGGCGCCATGGCCTACTTGTTTCACGGCGTACACGAACAAAGCTATGTGGCGCATGTGATTTCGTACGCGCTTCGCATCGGCCGTTTTCGTGATAGCACTATTACGGAATCGTTGGCAGAACTAATGCCGTTATAGTATAGAATCAAATTGGCATAATTATTGGGTGGTGCTATGCGCTTACAAATTTATATCGGCATAGAAATAAATCACGGCATATGCACTAATTCTTTTTAAAATTTCATTAATCGGTAGTTGAAAGTTTTATGCGGAAATAGAAAATTAATTACGTTTAAGTGTGTGAGTTGATTGTTGTAGATAAGAAAATTTATAAACTAGATTAATCGATTATTTATTACTTGTGATATTGTATGCCATTGTTATTTTAAGTTAAAACAGTAATACAATTGACGAAAATATTAGAAAGGCAAAAATGTAAAAAAAAAATGAAAATATGTTATTTTCTTTCGGCAATTTTAAAACAAGTTGATATTATGGGGATAATTATTGAATTATTGTTTCTTAAAAAAAGTTTTTAGAATTTTGGATTATTTAGATTTTATTTGGAATTTTTGGATATCCCTGTGGAATGCGCGTCTAACCAGAGAACGTATCTCTATATATGATATACGTTCTCTGGCCTAACCAATACCATTTTTTACTGTGATAAAAACCACCGTAAACGGATGCAGAATTGCATGGCCGCTCACTGATGCCGTGTGCCCGAAGAAAGACGCGCCTCTGAAGTAATTGCAACAAGGAAATCCGATTCAAAAGTGTAAAATATTAAGAGGTTTTGGGCAAATATCAACAAGATCGGTAAAATAACTGCTTAGCGAGCTGGATTTCATTTTGGGATTTCCGCCCAGGTTTCACACCGATAGAGGTCTTGTACATCGTATGATGGCAGTTATGCATACTTCCTAGTCTGTTGTACTTTATACCTGCTTTTTGTTTAACAAGAATCAAACTTATATTTGTTAAAATTTGTTTTTGTAAAATACCGAAATCCAAATCTATAAGCCATGAACACTGGCAAATTAATTTACAAACACTTCGTTATGGTAATACCGTCCTTATTGAAAATCCCATCAGCTGTTGGGTAAACCGTGTTGCATCTTTACTTTTTTGGTAAAGCGAAAAAATGTTTGTGAACTAGACAATGTTTGTTTTTTTTCTAGCGCATAAATTGTCCTTAGATAAATGCGTAAAATATTGTGTTTAAACACAAATTGTGTTAATTATCTACGTTTTAATTAAATAATTAATTGTTCTTACGAGTATATTTATTGCGTATAAACTTCTAAGGGCAATAATTTTCGAAATTGGCAACACTCAAAGGCGCGACTTGCTCGCCTGCTGATTATTTATTTTAATTCAGTGCAATTGGTTTTTAAATCGCGTACAGCTGTTTATTTTATTAAGTGCTGTTGTTTTATAAGAAAAAGTATTTTTGATTTGTGATAAATATTAACTGAGCAATAACTAAATTTCCCACCTGGTGCAAGAGTTAGTGAAGCAAGACGAACAGCCAACTACGATAAAGGTGATTGTAATTTTCTGCTATACCGTTGAGTGTCGTGTGTAGTAGCTGATATTGGGAAATATAGCCTACTTATTTTTTTTTGTATAAATTAGTAATGTATTGAGAATATAAATAGAGCATCAAAAAAAAAAAAAAAATTACATATATACGTACATACATATGTAATTTCGAACATATGGAGAATTGTATTTGTGTACGATGATGCAGTGGAGTACAATATAATGCTCTTACGTTTTTTATAGTGTGCGGGCAGAGGAACTGTAAGGCGCCGGCATAACTCATTAAAATTCGTTAGTGTAAACTGCATTTTACTGAAATAGTCATAATCGGACAATCAAATAAATTTTGGTGTTGTAATGAAAAAATCCTATACGACCAGTGTGTTGAAACACTGCAAACACTTGGTGACACATTTTTGATAAGTGCGGCTGTGTATAAGCTGTAATTCTTATGACATCCAATTGCCATTTTACGCAGTCTGTATTAAAACATTGACTTTATAGACTGCCCAGTGTCACTGGGTACATTTTTATTATCTACACATCACAGAATTCTTGCATCATATTGCTGCTCCATTTTTTACTATGCTGTGGCAAACCTGGCACCTATGACGCTCCAATTTCTATACAGTGCTCTTGCATAACATGTCATGCAAACGTGTTCTAACGAGATGATATTAATTTTGGTTTTTATGCACCCACGCGTATTAAGATTTATGTGTTATTTGTGTCTGGAAACGCCGTTAAAATGATTGTGGAAGTGTCTTCTGGTCACGGCAGCACTTTAAATGCATAATGCAAACAAATAATTTATTTCAAACAACTGTTTTATGCAGAGACATGGTGCTGTTTTGTAGAAATCTGTTATCTATTACTCGCATCATGTGACTACATATAGTTATCGTATATATCGTCATATCCTCCTATCTTGCAAAGTCCAAGTGTATTGTCGCCACAAAAAAAATTTAAAGCCACACGATGCATATATACGTTTGTGAAAGTCGGTACTGCATTGTGTGCGCATTAATTTAAGCCGTTTTGCACACCCACGTAGAATAAGAACAAAATGTCGAATGGAGGGGATAATAATTACAATTGTCAATTGTAAATGATTATGGCTACTTTGTGGAGCAGCGTCACACAAGTTTATAAACCACTGTCGGTTTGTCGCTGAAACAGCGATTGAAATCAATTTAAGCAATAAAGCGATGCTTACATCATTTTTGTTGTTAGATAGTTTGTTGTTATATGTACGTACATACATACATATGTGTGTATATTTACAACACATTTGCTTAAAATACCTGTCTATGTTGTACAGCTTTAGGATGAACAGTCATCGTCATTTGATCATGAGTGTGAGATGTGATCAATGCTAATGTTCTGTAAGCTCACTGTAATTTATGCACAGAAACCGTGTACTAAAGCGCATTATAAGCTTGACAGTAGTTAATATAATATATTGATGTTTCTTAAAAAATCAAAACATTAAAAAATTATAAATTCTATATGAAATTCTTTTAGTGTTCATTGTTTTATTTATTTGATTTTTAATATTTTTTACATGGTAGTCTTTGCTCCAATCCTACATTATATACACCGTCATTATCGTCTTATGCACCTTTTGTTCAAATTTTGTTTTATTTTGTCTGTCTAAGTTGCCTTCAATTTGCCGCATTTTACATACTTTTAGTAATAATGTATGTATGTGTGGCTGTGTGGTGGCGCTTGGTGTCAACATGTCTGCGAAATCGCCTCTACGGCGTCATTTAGCTGCACATTTTGCTTGCTTTCGTCATTTTGAAGATATCTTTTGCCAAATACAAGTACAACTGCATGTGGGCGCTGGTTGTGTGCGCGTGGCGCCTAAGTGTGGGGTTTTATGGTAGAAAGAGAGTAAGTCGAAGGGATGGTGACTTGGCTTAACTGAGTCAAGGGCGCTAGTAATTTTAGTACTTATATACATTTGTATACAGTATTTTTAACGCTAATATGTGCTTATATGTATGCGTTTTTAGTATAGTGGTATATAAGCAGCACATTTTTTGTCTGAAAATTACTATAAAACTAATTCAATTACTATGTATGCATATATGCATTCTAAGATATACATGCAAGAAAAAAAATTGAAATGTTAATATGATGTCATATATTTGCACAATTCCACGTAGATATTTGTATATACATACATATTGTATATACTGATTTTCGCTCTCTACTTGTCACCTTTAACCTAGTGTTAATAACATTCTATTACTGCTTCATTAAAAAATAAAAAATGTACACTTGAAAACAATTTATTCGCGAATATCTACACTTTGCATAAACATTATCAGCTGCCTTATCACGTCGTGTGTTTACATTTATTTTGAGTGCCATTTTTCGCTCACTCAAAGATGCTGTAGCTGTGTTTGAGCGGAGAATAGCTCAAATCGCTCTACAATTCAATGAGAGAACAGCAAAGCAGAATTCGATAATCGGCTTGCCAAGTTTGTGAGGTATATGATATTTTACGGCCTTGCCCATAGTTGCCTAAAGTAATGTTTAAGAAACATGACTTGTTGATAAGAGTGATAAACAATACAAGAAAAAACGTTAACTTCGATTGCACCGCAGCTGAAATACACTTCACAAATAGAAAAAATAACTTGATTTAGATCGTTCAGCTTGTAAGCAGTATGTTATAGTTCATCGATCTGAACAATTTCTTCGGAGATTGCATTATTGCTTTAGATAATGATCCATGCCAAATTTTGTGAAAATATCTTGTCGAATAAAAAAGTTTTCCATACAAGGGCTTTATTCATTAGCTAGCTTACATTACAAATTTCTTCTATGTCATTGCAGCTACGCACAAAGGACCCGCACACTACTCAACTTGCACAATAATAATAGAAATAAATCGACTTTTTTCTGGCGACACACACGCAAGTCGCCACAACGAGCACAATTACTAAGCAAGCACAAATTATGGGCGCTAGCAACGTCCTACAACAGCGCCTGCGTGGCAGCGGCTGCTACATGTCCTTGGCCTGTTCGATTGGCTCGATGAGTTTGGCCTGCGGCAGCCTGTTGCAGATACCCAATATTACAGATCGCATTTCGCTGCAGCGTGGCCTCTTCCTCACCTCGCTGGGTTTCATATACTTTGTGTCCCTGACAGATTTCTGCAATAAGTACCTGTTGAAGACGAAACGCGGTTTGCAGTTTCGCAAAAAATATCGCCTTATGATGTCGGATGTGCTGGAGATTACTAATAAGTGAGTACACTTGTGTTTTAATTTGTTATAAATGAAGTGGATATTTATGTGAAAAAAATTTGCACAAGTAGCTAGAATTCATCTGTGTCGTTTCTTTTGAAAACTATTTAGATTTAGTTTTTTTTTATAAAAAATTGCAATTAATTATATTACTAATTTTTTTTTGTATATAAAAAATTGCAATTAATTATATTACTTATTTTTTTTTTATAAAAAATTGCAATTAATTATATTACTTATTTTTTTATAAAAAATTGCAATTAATTATATTACTAATTTTTTTTTATAAAAAATTTCAATTAATTATATTACTAATTTTTTTTTATAAAAAATTGCAATTAATTATATTACTTACTCTTGTTTTTTATAAAAAATTGCAATTAATTATATTACTTATATTTTTTTTTATAAAAAATTTCAATTAATTATATTACTTATTTTTTTATAAAAAATTGCAATTAATTATATTACTTATTTTTTTTTATAATACATATTAAAAAAATCGTTTATTGTTGTTGCAACAAGCAAAAACTTATAAACTGCGTTTTGGGTTAAATTATTTTTTCAAACCGCTTATATATTTAATTAAATTTGAATCATGTTTCCATTGTGTTAGCCAACACTGTATTTTATACAATTTAATTGCAATAAGCTTGCACCCAATTTGGTGACAAGCGCTTAAAGCTTAATTCAAACAAACATATATACTTACATACTGTACGTAGATATTATATATATACATATATATATATATACATATTTATATTTAAGTATGTCGACATAAAATTGTAAATTGCCCACTGCGTTTAATTGCGTGCTATCGAAAATATTAGAAATTAATATAAATCGTGTCATAACCAAATGCTCATTAAAAACACAGAAGATAACATAAGTACATAACCTACTTATCGTACATATATACACATGTACGTTTTGTACTATGTCAGCTGTTGCGGTTGTTAGTCTATTAATTGAGTGTTTGTTTACCTTTGCAAGCACGCTATTATCGCCACAAAAAATATAAAAAATAATTATATGTTTGCATTTTGTTGGGAATTGTGTAATGAAAATTGTCTCTATAGTGATAAATAATATATAATTTTCCGAGCAATTGAACAGTGTTCGAATTATAAAGAGCGACAAGCGCTGTTGTTACTTTTTAAGCCAAGCAAATGCAATTCAATTAATTATTATTCATACAAGTTCGATATAATAAAAGTCAAGTGCATTAAAAAGTTAAAAAATAATAATAAAAAAAAACAAAGTAAAAGGTAAACTTTGGCCGCGTCGAAGCTAGCATACTGTTCACAAATAAAAATGTTTTCCAAAAACTGAGAGACTAGTTCGAGACGACTAGACACCCATTCCCACGACAGTCGTGTCTGCGTAACGGGATATCACACAATCTTGGTGGCCAATCGACCGGCCCAAAACGTGATGCGATGTGTGGGATCTTGCTCGGCTTGTTGAAACCAAATGTCGCCGAGATTACGAGGCTCAATTTCAGGCGTCAAATTTTGTTGTCAAACCGTTGTTTTTTCTTTGAATAAAATAGCAACTCTTGAATCTTTTCAGGTTGCTCTTCGTCTCAAATGCGGCAATTTTGCTTTTTTACATACCCATTGAGCCAAAAATGGGCCTCATCGCTGAACAAAATTTGGCTCGAAAACGAACTTGGAACTTTTCAAGAGCCCATAGAGCAAAGCAATGTCGCTTGTGAAGTTCGAGTGGCTTCAGTTCTTGCACAAGCTGTATTTTGTACGCTTGCAATTTAAGATCTCGATGCTGCTGGGTCTAATAAATGCTGGGTCTCAAGATGATGGTGTTGCGAATAGTACGCTCAGTAGGCTGATTAACTTGACCATAAGTTGAGCGAAGCGCGCGAAACGCATTATTTACAGAACGTGAATTTTCGTAATAAAGTTGAACAATTTGTAAACGCTGTTCAGGCGTAAGTAAGTCTTTCCATTTCTTTAGGGCACAATAGACCCTAGGTCGCGGTGCAAACCTCTTACTTATCTAAGTCTTTCCATGATATGCCAGACAATACAGAACAAATATAACATGACAGCTTGACACGACTCACGCGTGAGTGATCTGTCAAAAAAGGCTATTGAAAAAAGTAGCTCTGCTTGGATCACCCGTTATATGTATATATTTTACAGGGTCGACGACATTTCCTGCTGGGTGTTACAAATTTCGTGGCAAACTTAATATGCCCTGTTTAGGGTATTAAAATGACAATAAAAATTTATATATATATTTATATTTATATTATAATAACAAAAATTAATTGGCTAAAATTACATATAATGACTTCCTCATCCTTGTTTTTGAACAATGTTTTTCGGATTAATATTTCATAAATATTGTTGCTTAAAGGCAACGCTACACGCAGCTTTAACTGCATTTCTATTATTAAATTTACTCAATTAGCTATATTTTTAGACTGTTGTTCGACTATTTAATTGCTGATTTTTCGTATTTAAAATTTTATTATATATATATAAATTATTTAAAGTTCAAAAGCTTAAAATGTGAATTTAAGCATGTTTTGCTACTTTAGACAAGTGCTCTTTGCAACTATTTGCATATTTGCAATTAATTACGAGTGTGAAAAGTAGCACGACAATTAACCGCTACAAAGTGTTTGACAAATACGCGTTGCTTAATCTGTATTTGTGTGCTTAGATGGAAAGTATTTGTATGCAAATTTACTAAAATAAAAATAGATTAGATAAACATTAAGCAGAATACCAAAAATAAGAGGCTAAGTTGATTTTCAAGCTGTCACCTTAGCCGAAGCCACCCTTAATCCGTTAGCAAGCGATTTCCGGCTACAAAAAAATATTGATACCTTGAGCCACTCTAGAAAACAGCAATAACTCACCACACCTCGTTGTTAAAATACACAAAGTTATAGCCAGCGGCCACCATGTACGCTCAAGCTTGCATTGAAAAGCTACACAATCAGTACAACTTTTATATTATAAACTTCAATATCGTTTACAAAAAATTTTATAAAGAAACTTGAGGTGAAATATACATAATTCTATATACGGGTCACATATGTTAGCAGCTATGTATTTGAGTCCTACAAGCGACAGCCTGTTGGATTCTATTTAAGCTGCCACGTTCCCATTGCACCACTCGCTAATGGCTTCGTGTCTGACAGCCGACAGACATTCGCCTCGACATGTTTCGATTTCAGTGTGTCTTTCGTACGTTTTCCCCGCTTGTTGCGCTGTATTAGCTGGCGCAGCGTGATGGGCGTGTGAAAGGATATGGTGTAGTCGCTGCATTGATTATTTGAATCCGATTTCTCAGTTTCTTTAGGCGTGATCATACCCGATTTTTGTAGTAATCTACTCTCGTGTGCAAGCCTTAATTGCCCTTCATGACCTCCCAGCCATGCGCCTAATTCTTTGTTGGACTCGGACAGCAATACACTCGAGCCGCTACTCGAACCCAGCATACTGCTATTGGACTTGGTATTTATACACTGCACTGCTTTGTCTTCATGTTGCTGCTGCTTCGTGTGCTTATCCTTAACATGCCTGCTGTGCTTGACACGACGACGAAAAGTTCGGTAGTGACGAAGAGATTTCTTCTTACACACACCAACACGCGTCACTTTGCTCACTCGCTCTTCACTTTTATTGCACACGCTAAGCAGCGGCTTAGGAGTACTCAGCATAGTGAGCGGCTCAGCTGCTTTGCTAGTCGGCGTTAATTTTGTTGGTGTCTTAAAGGCTTGCGTGAGGCGGCGCAGTATAGCTATGCTCTTATCTACTTTTTCTGCGCTAAGCGCTTTATCAAACGCTGTGCTATGTTTTAAACTTTCGAAACATTTGAAGCTGCTCTTGCGCGGACACCAAATGGATAAGTCACTTAGTTTATGCGTGAAATCACGGAAACTGATCTTACGTAACCGGTCGTTCTTTGAAGTGGCTGTCGTAAGCTGCAGCTTTGGCGCTTTGTGTACCGTAGCTGGGACTGGTGTCAGAGGAACTTGTTGTTGCTGTAGAGCTCTGCCAGTTTTCTGCGCATGCCCTATATATTTTGTAGCTTTCAAAACCTGCTTCTTCTTCTTAAGCGCCAACTTCATATCCAGAACCGACTGTTGCGTATTTACTGCTTTCTTCAAAGTATCGGCAAGCTTGTTTTTAACGATTACCGACTTGCGCAACACTTGCGTTTTGCGTTGTTCGTCGCCACCTTCCACGCGTTCGTTAACGGTGCGTCGTTTCTCGTTCTCCAAATTCTTTTTGCTTTTGGCGAGCGCTTCTTCGAAATGCGCCGACAGCGAGTACTTGTCGCGTCGCACCCTTGACTCAATATACGGCGTACGCTTTTTACAATTAGCTGACGCTGGCGGCGTAGACTGTGTGGCGCGTGCACGTTTTTTCCTACCAGTGTGCGTCCACATATAACACTCCTGTGACGAGTCGTACGCCAAGTCACGTGGTTTCATTATCCATTCGACAGCTCTGGCATCGCATGGCTTTTGCGCTGACGTTTGTGCGCGACAACGACGGAAACCATTGCGCATTTTTTCGAATACCAGGTTGTGAAAGTTCCAGGCTCCAGCCCTATGGACATTCGAGTCATGCTTCGGTTTGGCGCTCACATAGGGATTATTGCCGGTGTTGAGCGTTACATGCCAAAGATAATTGCTGTTGTTGCACTCATTTTCGAGCTGAAGCCTATGCTCGCCGAGTTTACGCATTTGACAAACATCTTTGAGTCTAATGGGCGGTTCGCGGTGATATACTCGCTTAATGGTCTTTGCGATTTTATTGTGCGGACAAATTTCAGCGTTATCAAATAGTATGGGCTCGTAAATTGGAAATTTTGGCATTTTTTTATTTATATTTTTTTATTGTTGTCTAATTTTGTAAATTGTCTGCCGGAAAATAGATGAAAGCCGCTTTTGAGCGACGAAACCGACTGAATCGAAAGAAAAATTATAGTTGTTCTTAAATTTATTTTACAAGAACTGCACTGCACAATTTTAGTTCGTACAGTAGCAATATAACAAAGGTGCTACAAAGAAATCATACTGTGAGATACGAGTATGCTAAAGAGCTTGTGAGTTCGCTTATAAAAAGCTCGAGCTCTTTTTTATTTATAACCAATCAATATCAGTATTTCTTCGAACTGATGCCTGTCGATTGCTTGATCAGCCCTGTGGTTGTCAAACTTATACTCGACCATGATAGTAAGTCCGTTGTTAGCTTTGCAGAGAGTCCTCAACCCTTTTTTTGTAAGAGTTTCAATGGATCCTTTTTGCTTTCTCATATGGCCGGGAGAGTTCTGTGTTTGTTGAAAGTTCTTTACCTACGCAAAGCGAGCTCTCTACGCTACTAGCTGTAGATGAGCCCGCGAAGTATGCTTTTTAATCATCCATCTTATCTTTGGCTCGAGTTCAGTAGAAAATAAAATTAGTTAATTTCAAATTTCTCACATTTATTTATTTTCCGGCTAAAACACAGTTGTCTCAACTGCGCATGTTTTCGAAAGCGGTTATAGTCAGTGAGTCCTGCAAATTTTGTGCTATTTTCAAATTGTGTAAAAAAATATAAAAATGTTATTGCCAAAAGGACCGCCTTCCATGCGAGCGACTTTCCCTTGCCCCTCAAATAGACATTTCTTAAACAAAAAGTCTTCGTTTTCGGCGGCGTTGTGGTTTCTTCTTCGTTGGATTTGAGTTAGGTAACATGAAAGCCGGTAAGATCTTCGTGCTGGGTTCTTGTTTGAACATATCCACAGCGCTTAAATTGTGCGGCAAATAGATAGCACTACTGGCGTTACGATAATATTCCATTTCGACGACGGACAAGGTCCTCTGCAGCTTATTTTTATTGCGCCAACACATACTTCTATTCTGTATCGTAGCATTGGCGTTTAGTTGCCTGCTATTAGACCGTTTGGGTAAACCGCCGCTGAAAATTGGCAAATACTCCATTTTTGGAAAGTTAAGACCCACAATGTGATTTTCAGTGCTTCTTTGCTGTAGCCAAAAAACAAATGTAAGAAATTAATGAGAATTGTATGTGACAGTTGCAGCTTTGGTAACTTTTCATGACGCGCAGTTATCTCAGCCTTGTATGCAGTGGAGTTTTAGCAAAAACTTACAATTGAAATTACGCGTTTTTATGCTTGCACAAAGTTTTTTTATGATAAATTTCGTTGAATATTTTTTTTGGAAAACTTTCTGTTGAAGTGAAGACGTGCTCAAAAATCGTCTGTAAACAAATATTATAAATGTAGCCAGAGATCGTTTGTCGTTATAGCAGTTTACACAGGGTGTTCAGAAAGTACAATTTTTGTAAAAAAACGTGCGCTCAGTTTCATAAGCTCTTGCAGCTACTGCTATGGACGATTTTTTCTTATGATACTTAAAATGATTTTCTTCATCTAGTAAACTAGTTGCCTATAGAATATGCCACTTCAAGCGTTCCACTGGAGTCACTGCGTCGTTGAAGTCACGAGCATGGTTCTAGGTAAGTTACATGAACGCTCAAGCACTTTTTGTGCGTTCCGCTTGGCTGAGACTGTTCGCTCATACTGTATTGTTAGTCAGATGGTTAGTAGGGGGGGCAAAAAAGCGCATACGAGTAGAAATTTTTTATTGTATTTTTTCAAACGCATAATTACAAATATGTGAACTGTTTCATATGCTTATAGCTCTTACTGTTATGTGGATTTGTAAAAACTTTTCATTGAAACGTCTTAATACCTATTTGACACGATTTGTCACAATCTGTCTTATTGCACATTTCGCACATAACAATAACAAGCTTGCAGCATATGTAGAAAAGTGCTTACTAACTCCCTTCAAGTTTTCACTCGAGCAAAATCAAAAAAATAAAAATAATAATAATTATAGCGGCAGAAAGATGCCAACGCCATTACGCTGTAAATTGAGCTGCTTGCGCTCCTCGTTCCACACGCGTGTCGGATAGTGTATGGCGCGTTCTAAATTTTCGCCGGTTAGCGTGGTACGCTGCAGATTTCTAACGCGCTCGGCTCTCTCCTCAACTTCAAGCGCCTCTTTAACCGTGCCCTTGCGCCATAATTGCTGTTTTCTTAGCAACTCATCCTGGTATTGCGTGTAGCTGTCATCACCATCGCTGCCACTATACTCCACTGTAATACATTCTATATCCGAATCGGTTTGCTCATCATCCGATATGGGTGTGGTGGCGTGTATTGTCGCTGGTATAAACGTCGTACTGCGACGCGTTTGTGGCACATAATTTATGCGCCTCTTTGCGTTCTCTTGCAGCTCTTTGATATTTTGATGTGCGCCTGTTTTCTTATAAAAAGCTCTACAACGTGCGCAACGCTGTTCGTTTTGTGTTTGTGAGTCGTCAGTTTTGCAGGACTCACTGGAGCGTCCGCTCGAGCTTGTAGCACACTGATTTGCGGCTGAGAGTATATTCAATATTTTTAACTGCGTATTCTCGGCGTTTAAGTTGCTGCAAACTTTCTTCGTATTTTCCGTTTTCAGCTGCGATATCGCTGAGATCTGTGACTCTTGACTCGAAAGTTTCGGTGATTCCTCATGCCTGCCGCTTTCCAAACGCGGACGCGTCGAACTGTAATTAAAACCGCAACTGCGCTCTATGTTGGATTGCGATTTTTTAATTTGTTTGGCATCCAGTAAGTGTTCGTTAGAGGCGTTGACTGTCTTCTCCTGTCGTAAGCGTTGTGCTGCTATGGCGGCTTGCTCCGGCCACAGTCGTGTAATCTGTTGATTCGAATCGCTCTTTTGGTCAATAAGCGGTCGTTGATTTGCGCGCTTCTCCGCGCTTGAGCTCTTCGCTACTAATTTGGTTTGGTTTTCAGCCCGGCAAGTGTTACTATACACGGGTAAAGGTATACGCGATTTCCTAGCAAATTTATTGCTGAATCCGTCTTGTTGGTTTGTGACATGCCGTTTGTTGTGTTTTTGTTGTTGAAGCGCGCTTTCAACCGCACTGAGCCCACAACTCTCTGACGTAGATGGTGTGCAAACAACAGGCGGCTTCAGTTGTCGGTTTCCACTAACTAGTTGTGACGGTGCCCCCTCAGTATCTGTTGCAGACTTCGATTGTTTACCACTTAAGCGCAAAGATTGTGTCATTACTGTAGTAGGACTGAGCATTTTTTTACCAGTTCTTGGCATATTTAACATTTTACTTTGATTAATTTTAGCTAAACGCAAGCTTTCTTCGGGCTGCGCATTGAACGCATCTGCGTTGTAGAGTTTACCATCCGGACTGGAGAGTTTGGTAAGCAGTGTACGCAGCGAGTGCTGTGGCAGCAGCTCGTTCATGGTCAGTTCGGCGCAAAGTGCCGCTCTTTGTTCCAAAAGCATGCCAGTATCTGAGCTTTGCGCTTCGCTGTCTAAGCTTGCTTGCGTATTGCGTTCGGCATTTTGTTTAGACTTCGGATGGCCTGGTATGGTCGCATGTGCTTTCTTACTTGCTTTTATGTCTATGATCAGTTTATGAATTGATTCGTCGCCACTGTCGGCTCTGAGCGAGTTATGTTCATCGCTGTTATTATACTCAGGCAACATTGTACGCTCCTTATTTTTAGCATTACTTAAAGCATACTCCGCTACGCCGTTAAAGGCCGGCTCAATTGCTTGTTTACAGGCACAATCTGCTCTGCAAGTTCTCAAGTCTTTCTTTGCTTTGGTTGTTCTAAAAGTTTTTGGTTGTGTGGCAGTCTCTTTACAAGCGCAATCATCCCTACACCTTTTCAGCTCATTCTTTGTAGGTTTGGGTGGTCCTGCTTGATACGTCTTAACCGTAATTTTTCTCTGTGCCTGTATTCGGTCTTCATAGTAACTGGAGGGCATATACTCCTCGTCAACGCTCTTTTTTATCGAATTTCTTTTAAAGTTTTCCAACTGGTTTGATTTGTCTTTATGTATACCTAAACTTGGACGCTCCACTGAGCTGCTGCTGTCGCTGACTTGTGGATCTATAGCATTTTTGTCGCTGTAACTCTGCGAATTTCTTTTACTCCCTTGCTTGCTTTTACTTACTACATCCTTCGAGCTCGCATCACTTTTACGTTCTGTTGCCATATTGTTTTGCATAAATGTTGTATATTCCTCTTCGTTGTCTTCAGCTGACTTACTGCGCTTGCTATTTCTGCTTTGTTTCTTAACCGTTTTTCTCTTATTTTTTGTCAGCTCTGGACTGTCGTTGCTGAGTCGCTTCGGACTAGCCATTTCGTTTTTGGTGCCGCCTCCATTTTGCAGTTCTATAGTTCGCGTGAATGTTTGCGTTATTGTTCTGCTTTCGATTGGATCGCAAGTGCATTCGGAATTTCTTGGTTTCGTTCTCTCACTTTTAGGTACCACTATTGGAATTTCGTCTGATTCGCAAGTACATACACCAGATTGTGGAACAATTCTCTCACTTTTAGGTGCTGGTGGTTGACTGTCGTCTGATTCACAAGTACATTCAAACATCTGTGGTTTCATTCTCTCACTTTTCGGCCTGACTGTTGGGCTTTCATCAGAATCACAAGT